TTTTGGCCTGTGTTTACTGCATTCATTTCGCATTTCTGTGCCATGTACAGTTTGCCGCCTGATTGTTGCTGGTAATTGGTCATGTGGCTTGATGGACTAAAAGTGTGATAGGAATCTCGTTCTTGTAGCATATAACTAGAAGTTTCATCTATGCTTCTGAGCCTGGATTTTATGGAGGCTTATTTACTCCTTATAATGTGTTTAGTGTAATAGCACCATTTCTAAGATTTCGTGATTGTTTTCCATCATGGAACTAGTGCTTCCTGTGGTGTCATGGTCTCATACTGTTTGTCTTTTGCATAGAGTAGTAGCATGATTGATAGGCCTAATTTTGCGGTGCGCTGGCATCAAGGCACATGGCGACATATGTCAGCTAGTATTTTTACTGCTCTTGATTGTCTTGACTCTATCATTTCGGTGGTCAGAAGACCACTGGTTTGGCAATATTCAAACTGTTTGGGATCTTTCAGGCTTCCAGTGGTTGGCAATTAGTTTGGTCCTACAAATTTTCATATATCAATCCAACACTCTCAATCAACACAAAATAGAGCAGTGTAATGGCAAAGTCAACCCATGTCGGAATACTCTTGTGATAATTCAGTTCTACACTATGAATGGAGAGTATTATATTTTCTATATTGAAACTTTCCTTATACCAACTAAAGTGATTGCTAATCTCACTCAAACTATTCATTCTGGTTTCTCGCATCAGATTTTTGATGGACACAATGGCTCTACAGCTGCCATATACACCCGGGAGAATCTAATAAACAATGTGTTGGCTGCTATACCTCCAAATCTCACAAGTGAGGAGTGGACAGCTGCGTTGCCAAGGGCACTAGTTGCTGGTTTTGTAAAAACAGACAAAGACTTCCAAACAAAAGGTATTATAAATGGGATGTCAGGTCTGCCTGTCTTGTTACCATTCAAAAGCAAATTATTTCTCAGTGGGTGTGCAATGTTTACAGGAGCATACACATTTGCTGTTTACTGTGGATAGCATGGTTTTAGCCTCCTATATATCATGGGATCCTCAGACTGTTTTACTGCGATGTAAACTGACTGTTACAATGTTTTCAGCTGCACGTTCAGGGACCACTGTGACATTTGTTATAATAGATGGATGGGTTGTCACTGTAGCATCAGTTGGGGATTCACGATGTATTCTAGAATCTGCTGAGGGTTCAGTATATTTTTTATCAGCAGATCATCGCCTGGATGCTAATGAAGAGGAGTATGTCCTTACGTCCAAGTCCAATGACTACAATATCGTTTGACTTATGACTAACCCAAGCTCCATAACTGCAGGGTGGAGCGTGTAACAGCAAGTGGTGGTGAAGTTGGGAGAATAAATATTGCTGGGGGTGCTGGGGTAAGTTACTTTTCTTTTATGTATGTTGTCAGTTACCAAGTTGATTATTTGTTTCACCCTCCCCACCCAAGTACACAATGCTGTATTCATGTGAGTGGACAGGTTGTAATTTTAAGGACAATTTCTTTGCGGTCATTACTCAGATTGGTCCACTCAGATGCTGGCCAGGTGGATTGTGTCTATCAAGGTCAATTGGTGATATCGACGTCGGGGAATTTATAGTTCCTGTCCCACACGTGAAGCAAGTAAAGGTGCATAAAACATATGAACTATTTATATAAGTGCAGTGGTTTTCTTCTTAATATAATGATGTGCAGCTGTCCTTCGTGTTTGAGAAAAAAAAAAGTATAAGTGCAGTGGTGGAAAAGATTCTTCATGTTATTAGATAGTAGCGGAGACGAGTCATAAAGATCAATGGTATCTTAGCGTAAGGTCACTAATCTAAATGAATTGATGTGAGGTTTGATGCCTACATTATTGCAGTTGTCCAATGCTGGTGGACGGCTTGTCATTGCCAGTGACGGTGTGTGGGATGCCCTGCGTTTTCAAGAGGCTCTGAACTACACCAGGGGTCTGCCAGCTGAAGCTGCAGCTAATCGAATTGTTAAGGTACTGCTATCTATTTTCTTCCCCCCTTGTCGATAAGGCATGCTTTATGGTTTTATCTGTACTCATAGGTTTTGTTATGCAGGAAGCTGTCACTTCAAAGGGATTAAGAGATGACACTACTTGCATAGTAGTTGACATACTACCTCCAGAAAAGTTAAGCCCCCCACTAAAGAGGCATGGAAAAGGAGTCATCAAAGCTCTGTTCCGTCGGAGGCCCTCTGATGAAATGTCTGAAGACCAGATGGACAGAGGATGTTTGGAACCTGATGTTGTGGAGGAAATATCTGAGGAGGGTTCTGCAATGCTTGCTCGAAGGTCAGCATTCCTTTTTCTTTGTGCTGGATACATTTTATACTTTGTAATTAAAGGATGTGTGGTGGGAGCATGCATCGGTCAGCATTCGTTTTTCTTTGTGCTGGATACATTTTATACTTTGTAATTAAAGAATATGTGGTGGGAGCATGCATCTGCATAAGAGGTTTGGACAATAGATGCATTTATCGCAACTACATTTGAACATGAAGTATACATATCCATGTGCGATTTGGCCTAAGCACTTTTATCTTGTCCACAGGTTGAATATAAATTATCCAGCAGGAAATATGTTCAAGCTGCATGCTTGTGCTGTCTGCCAATTGGAGATGAAACCTGGTGAGGGCACCTCTGTTCATGGTAACATGCCCAAGCATTCAAGAGTTGACCCCTGGGGTGGTCCTTTTCTCTGTTCCTCCTGTCAAGTGAAAAAGGAGGCCATGGAAGGGAAGCTACATTCAAGAAGTATGGATGTCTTTACCCAGAAGCTATAACCTTTTTTTCTTTTTGCACTGGACAATAACATGTGCTGAATCCTTAGTTACCCTCTTTTTGCAGATTCCCAATCTGCTGTCCAACCTGTGCCTAAGTAGGCCTTCCCTGACGGTTTCTATACATTGGTTCATATACAGTAACTATCACTAACAACAGCATTAGCAAATAAAGTAGACTCTTCAAGAATTTTCACCTACTTCGTTCTTATCAAATGGTGATCAGTACAGATTATGGAGATTTATGGTGTCATTTGTATGATGCACTACAGTGTTCTGTAGAAGGTTGAAGTCTGAGCTTATCAAGTCTATATTCAGAGAGACCACAACTGACCTCTAGGTTCAAATGAACTGGTAGCCTTAAGGTGTGCTGCCTTTTGTAGTTCTGTCATTGATTATCAAGTCTGCACGACTTGTCTATTTGTTAATACCAGTCGTTGGTTGAACCCCATTTAGTCCGAACGTAGTTTTTTTTTTTTTGGAAGTGTTGTTCACATGTCACGCTGCTTGATGAGTGACCATAAAGACTATGCTTTTTCCAGTCTCAGTCACTCAATGCTTCCTCCCTTGTTAATCCTCTCACCACGTGTTTTTTTTTTTTTATTCTTTGCCATGTGTATAGTCATGAGGCACATCAGTACATCACATTGACTACTCTTTTTTTTTTTTTGTATTTACACCATAATTCTGCAGTTGTACCACTGTACTCACAGTTTTCTAACAAATATTTATTCCTTTTGTTTTTGAACTTTTGCTTCTATGTACTTGAAATGGTGTTGCTGAATTTGAATATATTTCTAAGGTTTATGAATGTAATTTGGTACCTATAAATCTTGTTCTGGCAAAGAGGAAACGTTCAAATTTGTTGCATATAGATCTAGCTTAACTGTAATCTGTAGGAAAAATTCATAAACACAACGGAGCTTAGTTCCACCTTTCATTTAATATTTATCTGAAACAGAAGCAGGGTGACAATGATCGCTTCCTCTTGCATATCGAGTGAGGTAGCCATTGTTTTCTGCTGCAAGGATGAGCTCATTGAACTGCCAGGCAATAATTTTGATGCATAGGAACTTTTTGGCCTAGGCAACAGGATTCTCAATATGGGAGCCATTTGTATAGCCGTTACTAATTTCCTACTCTTGTCGTCCTCATGAAAGAACCCATACAGATACAGTCTTCCACCATGAGTTGAAGCCAATTGCACTACTGGGTTACTTTTTACTCAGATGCATGAAGTTTAGAATAAAACGTAGATGTTAATGCATAGACATAAGACATGGCATGATATTCTTAGCATCAGTTTTCAGAAAACCTGCTGTATGATTGGCCCTGCCTACTGAATATACCAGCCATTTCAGCAGCTTTCTGCCACTTAACTGTAAAAAAAATCACAATCTGCTGAATCTTGACTCCCTTCAGCAGTTCAGCTAATTTGCTATCGGAAGCCAGATCTAACACGAAGAAGGATGCCCCCAACTTGTTTAGACATATTAACTGAGAACACCTGACCTGTTTAGTCCTCTTAATTAGCATCCGAACATCCGATGTGATACTTTAGTCCTTGATCCAAACATCCCGAGCTAATTATAAAACTAAGTGCACAGATGGAGACTAATTTGCATGACGAATCTATTAAGCCTAATTAGTTCATAATTTGATAATGTGGTGCTACACATAGAGACAAATTTACGAGACGAATCTATTAAGTTTAATTAATTCATCATTAGCACATGTTATTGTAGCATCACATTATCAAATCGTGAACTAATTAGGCTTAATAGATTCGTCTTGAAAATTAGTCTCCATCTATGCAATTAATTTTGTAATTAGCCTATGTTTAATACTCTAAATTAGTATCAAACATCTTATGTGATAGGGATTAAAAATTAATCTCTGGAAGCAAACGGGCCCGTGTATTTTACAGCTCGCAGCGCAGTCGCACAAAATCTGTGTGTTCGTAAGCAACTTGATAAATGGACACACAGATTCCCTCCGAGGTTTTCGATGCAAAGAAGAAAAAAAAATGGGCAGAGATAGGGTGTAAAGCAAAGAAAGATTTGGGTAACAGCATCCTCCCCAAAAACATTATACAAATACATACACTCGTACAGTCTTCAAGTGTGAAACAATTTACAAGAGCATGGACAAAAACTAAATTTACGCCATTTACATTTTACAAAGATACATAAACTCTTTTTTTAGAACAATCACTCTTATGTTTGTGTATGTGCCTTTCTAGACAAAAGTGTGGACATCTGGGGGAAGAACGACTTCTTTTTTCGCAATTTCTCGTCCGAAACAAATTGATCCATACTACCAGTTGACTTGTGCAACTTCGGATCTGTGAGATGTTCATTTTCTTCCTGATAAGAGCCCTTCTGCTCGACAAACATCCTCGGTGGAGTTCTCACAGGACTAACTGCATGTTGTGCAGCCTCATGGGCTTTCCGGCGCTGCACATGTTCAGCTCTCCATCTTCTCAGCTCCTGCTCAGCACCAAGCTTCCCCTCGTTTGCCCTCTCAGCCCTCTCCAGTGCGATTTGAAGATCACTCTTCTTTTCGTCCATGTCCCTGGATGCCTCTTGCAACCTCTCTAGGTTCCTTGATTCAGACTCTTTTGCCAACTCTATTTGTGCCAACGCAGCTGCCACCCTCTCATTTGCATGTTCTTCGGCTTCATGAACCCTCTTGCTAAGAGCATGATACTCACTTATAGGAAGTGTTACTCCTCGAGGAGAAGCGTCAATGCTTCCTGTCTCCTTGCTCTCTTGCATAGCTTGAGCTGCCACTATGGCTAGCCTTTCAGATTCTTTAGACGCCTCTATTTCTTTCAAAACTGCACGCAACCTGGTATCTGCAGTTGTCACAGAAGCCTTGGTTTGCTCAGCTTCTTCCTTGGCCTTCCTCAGTTCTTCTTGTGCCAAATGAGCTGCCATCTTGGCATCTTCTGCCTCCTGGGCTGCTTGCTGCAACATCCTTGGAAGCTCCGCCATTTTTTCCCTAGTTTCTGCTTCTTTCTTATGTACCATTTCTATCTCTTGCTTTGTCCTATCGAGCTCAGCTTCTAGAGAAGAAACTGTGATGGATGCCATACCCTCGCTCTGCTGCAATGTAGCAAGTAACGCTTTCTCCCTATCAAGTTCTGAACTGAGTGATTCTGCAATAACTCTTACTAAATTGGCTTCATTTCTTGCGTTTTCTAATTTCCCTTTAAATTCAGCAAGCTCCTTCCTTTTTGAAGCTAGAGCTTCCTTGATTGACCTACTAATTTCTTTTGCTTCGTCGGAACCTTGCTCCTGAACCATTCCAGCCTCTTCATTCAATTTGTTTTCCACATAGGCAGCTAGCGCACTTTTCAGGCTAAGTAGTTTGCGCTCGTTTTCATCAGCTTTGGACTCCACATTCATTTTGGATGCAATTTGTTCGTTGAGCTGGTGTAGCTCCGCTTGTGCATCTTGTAGCTCTTTCTCCCAAGCCAGGAAATCCTGCTCTTTCGCCAAAGCTGCCCCAAGTCTGTGCTCTTCAGCTTCATGGTGTGAAACGTGGGCTAACTCGAGAGACTCTTTGGATGCAATAAGTTCTAAAGTGAGTTCCTCTACTTGCTTCTCAGTATCCTTAGCAGCACAAACAACTTCCTCGGCCCTTTCAATGGCTACATCCCTTTCAGTGGCTAATACATCATACTGTTCAAGTGTTGATCTTAACTCCTCTTTCAGCAATTTCAGTTCCTCAACAGCCTTTTCATGTCTTTCTTTGGCAACTGCCAACTGTGTTTGGGCTATTACACTAGCTTCATCATCAATCCCTTGCTCCATCTCTTGTGCCCTAAGCAGGCCAAGCTCAGAATCTTGCTTTGCTTGGTCCACTTCAAGCTGTGCCCTCTCCAGTTTATGCTTCAGCTCGTCGACAAATCTATTAGTTCTCTCTAGCTCCTCAATGACGTGTGACTTGGCCACCTCAGCAGTTTCCCAGTCTTCTTTGAATTGTGGAATCTCCTGCTGAACCTTTTCAAGTTCAAGTTGCATCACCCTGCGTCTCTGCATATAAACAAATTTTACTTTGTAAAATATTATAAGACAATAGTTTCAAGGAAGTATGTGGCTGACCATGATCCACATTTGGTGTGAAACAAAGAGACATTACCTCTAATGATTGAGCCCTGTAGGCCTTCCAATTAACAATTCCTCCAAACTTGGTGACAGCCTCTTTAACAGACTCAAATGGCGCACTAGTGTCAACAAGACCTGTGTATGAGCCTTCAGATCCCTTTGCTGATTCTACTTTCTTTTTGGGGGTGACAGCAATGTTCTCATGATGATACATATTGTCTTCTTCAGATTTCATTTCAGCTGTTGGCATAATACTCGCAACAGTAAAACCATTTTCAGATGTGATTTTCACTTCATCCTTATTTGTTAGAGTAACATGATCTCCCTCGTCTTTTGACGAAACATCAGATGCCTGAGCTGGTACTATGTGGGAGAGAATTTTTGGTGACAAACTCCCAGCGTGGCCTACAGGGGACCCCAGTTCTTCCTGGTGCTCTGCCAAATTGTGAGGTAACTTTTCTTGGATTTCCAAGGATGTATCTGGACTCTTAACAGAAACTGGTGCAATATTTTCAGCATTCTGTGCGCTTGTTTCCCCGTGACCATTACTATCAAGAAGTTCCATGAAATCAGGAAAAGATGAGTAAAAAAATTTCTGTTATTCAGCAGAAGTTGTCAACTCCATTCCCAAAGCTTAGCGTTCGCAGTTTTTTACTCCTACAAACAAAAGTTCATGAAAAATTTGATCAGCTTATAGAAAATAAACTGCACATATTATTACAAGTAAACTAAGCAGAATGTGGGTGATATTTTATTATTATCACTACCACTCATACAGTATGGAAAATTTAAAAACTACAGCCATTTATGAATCACCCCGTTTCATGTGCATGTATTATGGAACCATCCATAAACACTCTCGTGTGCAGTAAAGATGATAGCAGCCAGCACAAGAGAAGTGTGATCTAGTGCTATAAGCATGAATCATTGCCACTAACTGACATGAAGTCATGAACCAGCTCAGCAATTACTACTCGATCGGCAGCTGTTCCACACTTCCACCTAACCTCTTTCCGTCCGTGTAGCCAAATAGTCTTTCCAACACATAAAAAGCAAACAGTTTTCTAGAAACTTTTAACTTTTAATAAAATCCAAAGCAAAGCAAGAACATCATGATCAAACAAGATGATGACTGAGATTGGGCCAGCTAGCTCAAAGTTCATGTTCCTGTTCTACCACCACCTCTAATCCATGGAGTCGCTGGATTCTCCAAACTGTTTAGATTAATTTCCTTGGAGAACTATGTAGCTTATGCCCTATGGGCATCAAGCGCTTGAGATTATCTTATCATGTGCTTGTCCGCAAGCAGCACGCAGGCAAGACTTAGTTGCTGAGCTATTCATCGAAGCTATGACCGGGGAAAGGCATGACAGCGAACAGGGCAAGAGGTACTCTTGCGGTGGGCTTGTGAATTCGTCCTCACCTCCCAATTCTAACTCGTATAGCAGAGGAGCTCAAGTCAAATCCTCTGCGCCGAATACTACCATGTACAGACCCCGATGCCTATCAAACGGCAGAAATCAATCCTTGCGTCAAGCGACGTTAAACAGGAATCACTCACTGGTACACAGCCAACTCCCAACTCCCAAACCAGGAAAGCTCCAAACCCCCGACCAAAATCCCCCACGACAAGAGCAAAAACCTCCGAACCGAGGCAGGCCACAGAACCCAACGCATCCATCAGACGGAAGGACCAAGAACCCGTCAAATTCACCCACCGAAACCAGCTTCGACCAAGCTAGCTCCACCATAACCAAATTAAGCTCACGAAATTGCAGCAAAAAGGAATGAGCTTTACCCGGTGGCCAAGAGGGGCACGGATATGCCTTGCGGGCGAAGCGACCGGGGGCCTTCGATTGGGGTCTCCGCCGGCGACTCTTTCCGTCTTCCGAGCCTCTCCCTGGGTCGTCCGCCTTCCTTTTCCTTATGTGTGCCGTGCTGTGCTGTGCTGTGCCTGTGCCTGTGTGCGCAGCGCGTGTTCTTTGCGGGAGCCGGGAGGGAGGGAGCAGGAGTGGGTGCGTGTCAAAGCTTTGTTTGTCTCTTGCGCTCGCGTCACCGCGCACTCGTCGTCGTCGCCACTTGCCCACTTGCCAGGCCGGGGGATTGGAGGGGCCGAGACCTCAGCGCACCGCAGCTCAGCTCGGGATTACCGATAAGCTCCGGGGTGTTGCTGGATTAGGATACGTAGCTGACTTTTGTAAATAAAGCTCCCGTGCTTTATCGATTTCCGAGGACAAACCTTTCCGTTAGTTAATTAATTTCTAGAAACGGGGCGGCAAGAGCTGGCTGATGGGGTTCGGGAATCGGGGATTAGGTGAGTGTGACGTCTCGCCAACGGAGTCAGTCATCGGATTCGTTTGAAACCGCCGAGCTACTCCAACACGTCGGCTTCTCTGGTCTGGTGCACCACACCACTCCAACTACAGTAGTTTTATTATCGTCCTCACCCAATGGATACTTCAGCCGTTTCCGTTTAGCGTGAAAAAAAAATACACTTCGATTTGTTTGGAACGCAAGGATCTCATAATCATTAGATAATTCTCGTGCTGCTGTATAAAGAGTAGGGGTTTTATCCTTTCTTTAGGGTAAAGGTAGATGGTCTTAGGAGATCACTTAAATGTTATAGGTATATATATATGAGATGAGCTAGAAGATCCATTGCAACAAATTTGTCTCTTAAATGCTAGTTTTAAGATACACGAGACGTTCGGCATGTTCATTTGGTTGTAGTTTCCTTTGTTTTCTTTCTCATATACACATGGCTGCCAAGCAAAGATAGTTCTCCAATGATCTCTCGCCGTCAGCTTTCTTTGTAGCAAATTTTTTATTCTGAATATAAGGTCGTGTCAAGACCAGGTCTCATACTTTTTAAGACCAATAAAACTGGTGTTGTAGCGTATAGGGTCGCCTTTTAAAAAAAACCCGACTGATTAGGCCTTAAGATCTCCAAACTTAGTTATAAAGAAAGGGTCTCCAAATTTTCATCAAACTATGGCCCCGTTCACGCGGCGGCGGCTGGATCGGTTGGTGGTGGATCGGCTGGAAGTGTCTCAAGGGTTACTGTAGCACTTTCAGCCGGTTTCAACCGGAACAGTGTTTCTCTCTACATAACCAGCAGCTACAGTGTTTTTGGCTTCTTTTTCAGACCAGCGAACGGGCCTATATGGGTGCCTAAGTCTACTGAGGAGACTTTACTGTTCCTCCGTGTAAAGGTGTCAAATGGTGAGCGTTAATGAGTCTAGCAAGTCCCAACTAAAACCACATTATTTTAAAGAAATTGTAAACCTTTTTCACATTGCAAACCTTCCACTTGTTGCTATCTTTTCCATACCTGCTTCTTTTTCTCTTCTCGTGGCTTCCGTCCTTTTCCAAATAGATGCCGAAAACCATATTGATTTTAAACAATAAATATTGTGCAGCTTTCTTAAACTTCAGAATTTACTCTTCTACTTGCATTAATGATTTGTAGCTAATAGGCCAACGGTATGCATCTCTATCCATTACAAAGTATGCGCTCCAAAATATAAGGAGTCTAAGAAGAGGTTTCCTCATGTATATTTTTTTCTATGTTTAAATCTTAATTAACAATTCCCTCTGCTCGCTAGTCGTTCATGGATGAATCATAGACCGTCTCTTCTTGTTTAGGGGGTATTTGGTACACTCTTCACCTTCTAAATCTAGTCTTATTTAGTTACTTTTTACCTAAATACTTTGACTAAGGGCGTGTTTGGGACTGCTCCGCTCCACGTTTTTCAGCTCCGCTCCATGTTTTTTAGCCAAACGGTTTCAGCTCCACGCACTCTGCTCCAGGAAAAAGGGTGGAGTTGTGAGAGCACCTAAAGAGGTACTCCACAAACTCCAGTTTTTTGTGGAGCTGCTTCACAGTGGAGTTTGTGGAGCAGAGTTTGTGGAGCAGTCCCAAACACCCCCTAAATAGGATTAAATGGACTTTAGCTAACTAGTCAATCAGATGTTGCTAAATAGGACTAAACATCACATTTTAGTCAGGCTGCCTCACTTTGTAGTCACTTTGGAGCCAAACACCCTGACTCTTTTAGTCCATTTTAGTCCAATAAACCAAACATGAGGTTATTAAAGTTTATGAGCTGGAGCGAGCGTTAGCTCGAGTGGTTCCGTCCCCGTCGTGGGAAGGCCCCGGTCGAGAGTTCGACTCTCACCGCCATGGGCACACAGTTGTGATGTCTTGATTTGTCTAGAACCCCCCCGCCTGCATTCAAGCGTCCCAAAACATGGGTAAGGTCTTCTGTGTGAGGGCGGGGCATGGGGTTCGAGGGTTTTCTTGGCTTGCGTGAGATGTCTTCTTCCTAGTGCAAAAAACTGCGGGGGTTGTCTGCCCACCGTAGACCGAGTTTTTTTTAGCTGATTTAGATGACTAAACTTTAGAAGGTGCAAACCAAACGCGCCCTTACCATTGTCCTATCTTTCTCGTCAACTCGTTGTTGCAAGAGGAAGGCATGGGAATGGCTCTTTTAATAGTCATTGCCAAGTGGTGACTTGTAGCACAAATGTGTGGCCCAAGGTACCTTTGTCCTCTTCTGGACTTATTAAGAAGTTGACCTTTGATGAACTTGTTGTACTTCTCGGAGTCCATTTCAATATTAGCCGAGCATAGTTGAATTTATCATTTCCACTTTCTTTTCCGTGAGTATAGGCTGATGTTTGAGAACTAAATAATACTCGCTCCAATTGTAAATTATATGCCACTTAGTCTTTTACTCTAAGTCAAGTTGTTTAAGTTTAGCCATTTTTCTAGAAAAATATATTAACATCCATGTGTCCAAATAAATACACTATCATGACATATTTCATAAATAATCTAAAACAACTATCATCAATGGACAGTAAATGTGGTTGTGCCTAGGGATGACAGCAGGTTGAGTAAGTTGCGGATGGAGTAAATACCTAAAGGATCTTGATATCGTCTAAATGGGAATGAATAGGTGAAAGGATCTATTTGCTTTCTTCACCCTATCGAGACACTCTCAAGTCACACTAAGCATTCATTTTAAGTTCCATATCAACATTGTCCGTATCCAAGTCATATCAAATATTGTCCATCTTACGTGACTTAGCTCATCCTCGTTTGAGTCCATACCTTAACACGTATGAATCAACATCAATATGATCCCAATTCACGATTCCTTATTTCCTCTCCAGTTTGCCTTGACATACTTAATCTTCACTTCTATATCTATTTCTATTTCTATTTCTATAATAGCATCACTCTAATTTTCTTCTTCATTCTTCCAACTTGATCAAAGTCATTCTACAATCAATCCCTTCTTGTTCATGCAAAGCAAGCAACCTATATGAGACCAAACCATATCCATTTCTCTTATGTCTCATTTGCCATATGTCAAATATGCTTGCTTTCACATGATGTCATGATATCCCACAACATAAAAGCTATTCCATCAATTCCATTTGCATTATTATCTTTCATGATCATCCAATCACAACAAATACACAACTTTGATCTTTATTTGAACACCGTGTGGAATAGCCTTAGGTTTGCCTTCTTATTAAGCCTTTGGCACACCAGGCGTCGCATCAAACTAAACCGCCTCAACTGAACAACGGGCCCCAGCAACAAACAGCCCACGCCGCACCACCGGGCACACCCGACGCGGCAAAACCAGCGGCCGCCTCAAGATTCGTGCCGCCGCGCAGCTTCCCCGCCCATCGCCGTCACCTTCCCGCTGACCAGTCACCCCGCCTAGCTAGAGCTGCCCTCCCCCTTCCCGTACACCGACCCGATACCACCACATCAACCTTCCCATCCCCTCCCCCGCACCCCCGCCGCCGCCTCCTCGTCGGCCGGCGGCGAGGGCGCGCCGCCTCCTACCCGCCCCTTCCGGTCCTCCGGAGGGCCCGCCCCGCGCGTGAGAGCCCCCTCGCACCGGGCTGCGCCTACGGGGTCGTGGCTTAGGGTTTCATGCGCCTCGCCAGCCGCCGATGTCGCACCCCGGCAAGTTTGTCTCCGTCAACCTCAACCGATCCTACGGCCAGCCCGCTCCCTCATCACACCATGGCGGTGGCGGAGGCGGCCGCCCCTCCCGCCCCGCCGGCACCGGCTCCTCAGCCGGCGGCGGCATGGTGGTGCTCTCCCGCCCGCGCGGAGCCTCCTCCCTCGCCAAGCCGCAGGCACCCAAGCTCTCCGTCCCGCCGCCGCTCAACCTACCGTCGCTCCGCAAGGAGCACGAGCGATTCGACGGCTCGGCGGCCGCTGCGGGGGGCGGGGTCGCCTCGGCCCCGCCTCGATCCGGCGGGCCTGCTGCCGGCTGGACCAAGCCCGCCCCGGCGTCCGAGAAGCCTCCCGGCTCCGCAGTGCTTCCTGGCGGCGTCGCCAGGCCACCGTCATATGGGTTTGCGGAGAAAGCCGTCGTCTTGCGCGGGGAGGACTTCCCGTCCTTGAAAGCAGCTGTTGCCCCGCCGACACCTCCGCAGCCTGCGCAGCGGCAGAAGGATGCTGATGGGGCGCGGGTCGTCACACCAGAGGCGCGACCAGGACCTCTTGGGATGCGGCCGCAGGTGACAACCTCGCGGGCCACTGAGCCACTGGCCTCTGGTGGGAGCTTGGGACCTGGTGGCCGCACTTCCGCTGAGAGGGTGCAGAAGCCTGATCTGGGGCCGCTTCCGATGGTCCGGCTTAGGTATCATTCTGACTGGGCTGATGACGAGCGTGACACAGGGCTGAGCCTTCCAGAGCGGGACAGCAGGGAGAGGGGATTTGGCAGGACTGAGGCCATGCTTCCAGGGCGCGACCTTTATGGAGCAATGAGGGAGCCCTTCAAAAAGGAGCTGTTTGGGAGAGATGCGGCTGCAACAAATAAAGAAGGTGGGCAAGACGGCCTGTGGCGATCTCCCGTGTCAAACCAACACGATAGGGAGCTAACAGATGGCCGACCATACAGTGGTGGCAGAGGAAGCAGTGGGCAATCATATCGGGAAAGCATAGCTGCCGGAAAGGATGTGTGGAGTAATAGTAAGGAGCCTCCTATGCGTGCCTATGGTCAGAATGGGGTGGAACAGTATGGAACCACACGAGTTGGGGAAGCTGCTAGCGAGCGTTACGGCAACAGTTCAAATAATTGGCCTAGGTTGAATTCTTTCCAGAATAATGTTGGTTCCAAAGTGCAGCCCTTTAGTGGTAATAAAGGGCCTTTAATTAATGATCCAGTGGCAAAATTTGGTAGGGAGAAGCGGCTGACTGGTTCCCCTGCTAAGCCTTTAATAGAGGATAGCGGTTTTGACAGCATTTCTGCCGTTAACTTGACTGCAATAAAGAAGAAGAAAGAAGCAGCTAAACCAGCTGATTTTCATGACCCAGCAAGGGAGTCGTTTGAGGCAGAGCTTGATAGGATCTTGAGGGTACAGGAGCAGGAGAGACAACGGGTAATGGAAGAACAGGAAAGGGCCAGAGAAGTTGCTCGGAAGCAAGAAGAGGAACGGGAGAGGCTGATACGAGAAGAGGAAGAGAGGCAACGTCTGATGGAGGAGCAGGCAAAGCAGGCAGCTTGGCAAGCTGAGCAAGAGAGGCTGGAAGCTGCTAAAAGGGCTGAGGAGCTGAGAATTGCCAGGGAGGAGGAAAGGAAGAGGATTGCCATGGAGGAGGAGCGGCGTAGGGAGGCAGCGCGTCAGAAGCTCCTAGAATTGGAGGCAAAAATTGCTAGAAGACAAGCAGAATCAAACATTGGCAGCGCAAGAGCTGTCAATGATGAATTTATTCCTGGAGATATCAAGGACAGAGACCTGTCACACTCTGCTAACTTTGGTGACAGAAACGATATTGATAAAATGAACGAGTGCATCAATACCTCAGCACCATTGGAATCCTCTAGTCTTAACAGGTTCAGTGAGACAGTTCCAAGGGTGCACACTCTTACGGATGGACGCTCTTCATTTATTGATAGAGAAAATGCATACTATAGTTCACGAGCTGCATTTCCAGAACAAGAGAATGTGCATCATAGTCCACGGCGTGACCCTTTTGCTGCAAAGAGGGGAAATTTCCCTAAGAAAGATCTTAATGATGGATTTGGGAGTGTTTCGGTCAGGCAATCTTCAACAGGCCGAACAACTGATTCTCCATGGGCACTCGAAGATTTCCGTCATGAAAAGGTTCCACGATGGGATGCGCCTAGGGAGATTGACCGTTTCAGCAAACAATCTGACTTTGATAATGAGCTTTTTAACAGTGACAGGTTTGGAGATACAGCTTGGCTGCCTAGTAGTTCTCATGGAAGCCTCAATGCTCATGCTCAACAAGGAGATAGGATGTTTCAGAGTCCTGATGTTAATGAATTGTCTTCTTTTACCAGACCATGCTACTCTATGCGGCAACCACGTGTCCCCCCACCCCCAATTGTGACATCTGTGCGAAGTTCAGTCGGTGCTTCAGCTCAACGTATCAATTCATCTTTTGTGGATGGTGGGAATGGAGAGAGTTCTGGTAGAGATGATGTGCAGATTATGCAGGGTCAGTATGGAAGTGCATACCAAGAGGCATCTCGCCAGCATGGGATACGACCTGACCACATTTCTGTTAATGAGCACCAAATTGTGGACAGAAAAAGCCCTGTATTGGGTTCACAATCTTCTCTTTCTGTTTCAAGCCCTCCTAGCTCACCTCCACATGTTTCGCATGATGAGATGGATGTATCGGGTGATTCTCCTGCGTTACCGACTTCTACTGATGGTGAACGAACGGTGCTCTCTGACAACGACAATGCAGCTCTGACTGTAGATGCAGACAATACAAGCAGAATTGCTGCCTCAGGAGTGCCCCACTTGGAGGATGATGAATGGTCAAGTGTAAACAATGATGATAGGCGGAAACAGGATGAATATGATGAAGACAATGATAGCTACCAGGAGGATGAAATCAATGAAGCTGATGATGAGAATATTGACTTGGATGATGAGTTCTTAGAGGGACAGAATACACCTGTAGAACTGGAACCAGTTATACTTGGATTTGATGAGGGCGTGCAGGTTGAAATTCCACCGAATAGTCAACTTGAATTAGCTTCTGTGAGGAGCACTGAAAGGACTGTTGGAGTACATCTATACTCAGGAGTTTCAGAGCAAGAGAATGTCAGTGGTTCAGTTGTCCATTCTGATCCTGTTACTGAAGCAGAGAAAGCACTGCAGGCATTGACTCTTGATCGTGTAAATGCCCTGACAAAAGACAGTAATGGGGAGCCATCCAATAGCTTAGGGACACCTGCTTCAAGTTCCCAGTTACCTCAGGCATCTTCTGCAGGTCCTATTTTTTCATCAGCTTCAGCAGTAGTTGGGCAGAATGAAGTACCTGTTAGCCTCCAGTTTGGTTTGTTTACAGGTCCTCCTCTAATACCAACTCCAGTTCCAGCCATTCAAATTGGTTCCATACAGATGCCAATCCATCTCCACAATCAGTTTAACCCATCCCTGCCTCACATGCACCCTTCAACAGCCCCTTTATATCAGTTTGGCCAGTTGAGGTATGCCCGTCCTATCGCCCCGAGTGTTCGATCGCTGCCTTCTCAGGCCATCCGCCCTGTACATTCTTCCATACCAGCTCAACATACATTGAATCAGAATGCGTCCAGTGTTCTACCTGAGCTAACGGATGGAGATACAAACCAGAACATCCCAGCTCAGGCAAGCTCATCCACCTTTATCAATAAATCAGCAGCGCCTACAGACAAGCTTCCCCTTGGAATGGACAGTTCAAACTCTCAGTATCTCAATGCTCCTGCAAACAATCAGATGGCTGGTGTGGAGGGGTTTCATGGCCAGGTGGACAGAGAATCTGCTGAGGGTACAACTCCCAGTGGTAGGAATCAAGATCTCTCTTTGAAGAGGAATTACAGACCTACCTCCAACAATGTAGAATCTTCTCAATATGGTTTGGAGGGGAGAGCCATGGGTGATCCAAAGGCTCCTGGTGTTGTCTCTGATAGAAGGGGGAGGAGATATGGTTATGCTGTTAAAGACATCAACATGAGATCTACCGGCTCATTTGTTGAACCTTCTCATAAAGATTCCAAAGGAGGATTCCAGAGAAGGGCTCGTAGGAATGTAAGACGGACTGAGTTTAGAGTTCGGGAGAACATCGAGAAGAATCAAAATGAAACTTCTGAGTCATTTTGCCATGGTGAACAAGACGAGATGACATGCTCCAATGGAACAAGAGATGTTCCAGCGAGAAATACTAATAGAAGGGAACTTGATATGAACAAGGCTTCTAGGATAAATGAAGCAAGTGATCAGAGTGTCTCATTTAGAAGTACACACAATGTTCCTTATGAGAGATCTCATGGTGGGAGCAAGAAGTCTAGAACAGGTGCTGTCCCTGATGGAGATACTACCTCATTGCAAGCTGGAGCTGTTCGTGTTGTGAAGCAACAGGGCATTGAGATCCCTGTTGATGCAGATGGCTTCATTGAAGTAAGGTCCAAAAGACAGATCATGAGTGTCAGGAGAGAGCAGAGGGAGAAAGAAAATAGATCCAAAATGAGGATGGCAAAGGTGCCCATCTATCATGTTTCATATGCTTAAATTTTTATCTTGTTTTTACCTTATTTGAGTTAATTAATGCTTTTATGTTGGTTGTATCAGGCTCCCCGCAAACAGCATAGTGTTTCCCTACAAAGCTCAGTTGGTCCTAGTGTGAATAAGCGAGCAGCTCCTTCGAGTGGAGAAGTTCCAAAGAAAGTTTCTTCCGGTTCTGCCATCACGGTAGAAGGAAGAATTGCTGACTATGCTGAAACTTCAGTTCCATCGATGGTTGATATGGCTTCCATGAACCTCATAGGGCCACCTTCAACCAATGCAGAAACTCATACAAACTGCTTTGCCAATCAGTATGTAGCTTAATTATGCTTAAGTTCTTCAACCAATTAAGGCTATGCTTGAGGGTCACTCACAAAAGCTTTTACAGGCCTATCCAGATCCAGACATCCTCTGACTTGGTCACCTCCAGTCCTGCAAAGCTTGTGAGTGGCTTATCTGAAGACAACAATAAAGGGGCATCTATTAGTACTCCATTTAACATGGTTTCCTGGGATAATTCACAAATAAACCAGCAGGTAGATTGCTTTTCTCAAGTTTATTTGTGTTCCAATGGTGGCAAATCTATATTCTTTTATTGTTGCATCCATATTTTCCATTCTTTATCTTTGGTTGTAGATTGCTTCTTGTGAATGAATTCTACATATATTCACTCCCAATACATCAAGGTGTATTTACATTTTGTTTTTTCATGGATGCAAACCAGATTACCTTGCTATTTTCCAGAAAATTATGGAAAGTTAAACAGTTATTATGCCTACTGTACTTGCATAATTCAGTGAGTGTTTTCTTCTGAATTTGTACAAATTATTAATCCAAACACCAGAAGAGGAATGGATAGCAATATCGTGGGTACATTTGGTTGCCTGGTTGAGCACTGTACAGCCTTGTTGAATCAGAAATCAGAGAGATTGCTGGGTGAGGCTTCCTTGGGACCTGAGCTAGGGAGCTTTTTGCTTGCTTCCGCAGGCGAGCAAATTTGTCTCGCCTGCGCTGGCTAGGTAAGCTTGCTTTAGACTAGCGAGGTAGTCGGGAACCAAACTTGCTCGTGATAAACATCCTAAGACTACAATGCTAGATAACCATATTTCAACATATTATATGGGAATTGTATCACATGAGTGTCTTTTTTGTTGTCTTTCCTTATATTTTTCTAAAAAAATTAAAATGTTGATGAAAATTCTATTTGAAATCCTGCACCAAGAGCGACCACAGAACAAAGCCTTTGGCTAGAGATGAACCCAACAAGGGCTGCCCCTGAATAAAAGTAAGACAGGTATGAGTAATAGCATCGTAGTGATAGTAAGGAGATTGATAAGGTTATGATTTATCCACATGGAGTGTGATTTCCATGTGCTCCTATCCAGAAGTTGCAGTTCAAGTGGTTCTTATTTAGGTAAAAGATTGACAATCATAAACTAAACTTGACCTTTTTAAATGCTCATGTTGCTGTGTTGGTAGCATGCAGTTTAAGTAGTTCTTATTGTACATTGCAATGCGTGCGTCCCTACCTTCAAATTATTATATACTTATCTGTAAATGTATTTTCTATTGAATGCAATTGTACATTTTATTTGGATTTTCAGGAAGCAACTTTTTAGTCTGGCATATGCCACTGAACTATGGTTTTATCTTAATTCTCTAGTCTTCATATATATAAATATTTTTTGCAACTTGTTCACATGTAGGTTATGCCATTAACTCAAACTCAACTTGAAGAAGCTATGAGACCAGCTAAATTTGAACAGCAGGCTGGGTCTGGCTTTTCTTTGGAGTCCAACAATGCTTTGTCTCCCACAGTAACCACAGAAAAGGTGTTCCCTTCATCTGCTAGTCCGATTAATTCCCTTCTGGCTGGAGAGAAGATTCAATTTGGTAAGCACTTTTCATCAGTACTGTATGATGTTTATTGCCGCTTGACTTACAATGAATAACAATGTTGCTCAGGGGCAGTAACCTCGCCAACCATGCTACCCCCAGTTAGCCGAACTGTTTCAAGTGGTCTTGGAGCTCCAGGTTCATCTAGGCCTGATATGAAGATTGATCGAGGCTTGTCTAGCGATAACAGTGGTCCTGATAAGGCAAATTCCAAGGAATTATGTCCGAGTACCGAGGATGCAGAAGCAGAGGCTGAAGCAGCTGCTTCTGCTGTGGCTGTGGCAGCTATTAGCACTGATGAGGGATCTCCAGCTGATGCGACTACAGCATCGGCTCCAGACACCAAGAGCTTTACAAGCAAGGATCTCAGTGGGTTAACATCAGGAGGTATGATCTTTGCATTGTCAAATACTTTAATTAAAACATTGTTACATGATTATGTAGCTATATTTATTGTGTTATGGACAAAACTGAAGCAGGGGCAAGAACAGGTCAAGCTGGTCAATCATCCACCGAAGAGCTGCTCACAGTTGCTCTTCCTGCAGACTTATCAGTTGATACTCCATCCATGTCCTTGTGGCCTCCTATAGCCAGTCCACAAGCATCAGGGCCAATGCTTTCTCAGTTTCATGGTGCACAGCCATCCCACTTTTCCTGCTTTGATATGAATTCGATGTTAGGAGGGCACATTTTTGCATTTGGCCCAAGTGACGAATCTGCTGGTTCTCGAGGTCAGCACCCTCAAAGAAGCAATGCATTGCCTTCAGCACCATTGGGAGCTTGGCCGCAGTGTCATTCTGGGGTAGACTCTTTCTACCGTCCTCCAACTGGGTACGCTGGTCCTTTCATTACTCCAGGTGGAATCCCAGGCGTGCAAGGTCCCCCACATATGGTGGTCTATAACCACTTCGCCCCAGTAGGGCAATTTGGTCAGATGGGACTTGGTTTTATGGGAGCCACTTATATCCCTGGTGACAAGCAGCCTGATTGGAAGCAAAGCCAAGGACCACCTATTGTTGGTGTAAGCCAGAGTGATCCAAACAGCCAAAATATGGTGTCTGGTCAATTAAATGCTCCTAGTGTTCCTGCTCCAGTTCCACATCTACGCCCAACTTCTATCATGCCAATCCCCGTCTCCATTGACCATGTTCGACATTGCTCCTTTCCAGGTATGCATTTTAATTGTCGTAGATACATGCCAAGACAGTGGAAAAATCATGTAGTTAACTCTTGCATTTTTATGTTGCAATCTTCATTTGCATTGTAACTAACTATCCTCGCTGTTTTTCCAGACATCTACAGACATACAGATGCAAACGTGTTGGCCACATATGCCTGTACCTCTACGCTCAGTTCCATTATCAGTTGCACTTCAGCAGCATCCAGTAGATGGTACAGCCACACAACAGTTTGTTCATAACGTGCCAGTAGACAAGTCCAGTACAAATAACCGATTTCAGGAGTCCTCTGTTTCTGCTGGACCATCAGATGGCAACAAGACCTTCCCAAATGCAGCTGCCTCTCAGTACAGAGATGAGTTAGGTCTTGTCGAACAGCCAGCCTCAACTAGTTCAAGCTCCCAAACTGTTCAGCCTTCATTTGGCCAGGCAGGCGTGATCAGCAATGAAGTCTCGACCAGTGCCAAAGTCATGGTTAGAGCGACCCCATCTAAAGTCAACCCTGGAACTGCCGCAGGGGTTGCTAGCAACACGAACGGCCCTCAGGTCACCAGCATACCTTCCAAGACCCATCAGTCGCCATCATCATCAGACCAGCAGTACCAGCATCCGGTTAACAATCAGGATCGCCGGGCCCGTGCGACCCAAAAGGCTGGTACTGGTAATGAGTGGCAACGGCGATCAGGGTACCAGGGTAGGAGTCAAGGTTCTGGTTCCGACAGGAGTTCAGGCACTGGTAGGATGAAGCAGATCTACGTTGCGAAACCCTCGTCAACAAGTGGCCATGCCCCATCAGGCTAGAGAGTGGTACTGACTTCACTGAGCCTGCTTCACGCTGGTACAGCTCAGAGCATCCTTGGCATCAGACACATGCGAAACATATTTTCGCACCATGTCTGTCTATTCTGGTTTATTTGGTGATTATGTCTTGTGCTGGTTGTGTATGTTTTTGGTTCATTTTGTTGCATAGAAGAAAATAGAGTGCTGTTGCACTGCAAAAAACATTCGAAGCGACACCATATGATGCCTGATAAATTTTGCAGCCGATGGAATCGGCTGCCCGTGTGAGTCACTTCTGTGTGATGCAAGGATTACTATTGTTTATTATTTTTTGTTGACCGGCTCAAGGTCTGGACAGGCGAGGAAATGTAAATGTGGGGTATGTTCATAAATGCCTCGATGCTACTTTAATAGAAACATATGCATCCCTATCCTATTTTGTCATTTTATGTTAGTGTTAGTACTATTCCTTGAATCTTGACGCGAAAAAAATCTAAGCTTGCCCAAGAACTTGGATGTCATCACGCAAAGTTTTGTAATTGAAAACTTGAATATGTCAGTTCAATTTTAGCTTTGACTGGGAATTCTTGTTTGAATCGAAATCTCCTAGGCTCCTTTTGATGTTATAAGGTGGCTTTTCAAAAGCACCTGTTTCCTTCTAGACTTGATGCAATTATACAGCATCTGAAGCAACTTTCCAGGATTAGTGACAGACAACCACGACAAGCTGACTGGAAGGAAAATAGAGAATTTTGGCAACCGCTCAAAAGCACGGTGTTTCAAATATTATAAAATTACATTTTGTCAACAAGTCAAATGGACATTGCAGATATATGTACTTTTACATTACGGGACAACAGTTACGGGGCGGCACCCAGCTGGTCCAGCTCAATATCTGAAACCTTCCTGGATGATCTGGCAGGAAGTCATTAGCAATCTACGGCTTTCCTTATAGATACACTACCAACAGGAAACAGCTATCGTTTCACTATCTGGAGATGAACAGATTTATATACATCTTCCCACCTCCATCACTACTCTTCTTACAAACTTTCCAGCTAGCTTGCATGGACCAATCCCATTGGTCCCTAAGCTTCCCATGATAATGATTGGTGTCCTGAGTCACGAAAGAGCTGCTAGTGTAAACCCGTGCCTTCATGAATCATGCGGGCCGACCTAATAAAAACACGGCCGGTTTTGAACATGTTGATAAACAAAGAATATATGCAGGGTGAAAATAATAGGAGTCATGTTTTACCTTGGTTGTATCAGCATGTTTTTGCTGGTTTTTGCTAGACCCTCTGCCTTGTTCCCTGCTACCGTGAGTCTCCCCATCTAAGAAGTTCTGGTCTGATGATTCTGAAGAAGATGGGCAGTTTTCTTTATAGCGTAACAGTAAAAGGCAGCAATACATGTATTAGTTCACAATAGTCCAATAGAAAATGCTAATGTCCCTTCAAATAGAAGGTCAGTGTGAACGGACATGCTAATATAACTTCTACTGTCATGAATGCGAACTTTTACCATATTGAAGTTTCTTAACTCTAGGTAAAAACACAGATCAATTCTGCACTGTTTTCCCCCTGCACATATTTGGAAGCATCATGAACCTACCTCTCCAAGAAAAGGAATGTCCATGCTGGTGCACACGGAAAGCAGATGACCCCCCAGAATTCCTTTGCCTTGCATGGTAACTAGTAACTCTCTCTTGTCTTGGACCATTAGTTGATGCATCATCATCCATATAATAGTGTGAACCCCCAGAACAAGAAGGTGAACCGATATACCCAACCTCTGACAATCTTGATTCAGCTCCATCTCCATCAATCTCGTCTGTCCCCCAATATCCCTGTCCCTGATGTTTTGTTAAAAAGATAGAAAGAACAATTTCATTCACAGAAAAAAAAACATCCCTTGATAAGTGATATTGATATAGAGTAGCGAGAACTTGTTGCCACTACCTGATCATATTTTGTGTTTCTACCATCTCCACTATAAGAAGTTTTTTGCCATGCATCCGGAGTCCTATAGAATGACTCTGCTGATTTCATCGCCCCTTTACTACTGTACAATTGATTAACAAATGATTCCTCCAAAAAGGTAATGTAGAGCATGTGCTTCTCATCGGTCCATCCAGATGATGAACCTGGATTCGATGTATCCTGGCAGAAGAGAATAAATCTATTAAATTCAACAACAGCCTCCAACGATCTGATGTAATACAGATAATTCAGATATTTAGAAAGACAATGTCCAGACAGAAGATCTCAACCAAGAATTCCTCCCCTTATTTTAGTATTGACATCTTACTTTCCAAAAAAAATTTAGTATTGACATCACAAGGAAATTTCCTTCAACAATGCCTTGTGGCATTATAATAATACATGAGATGCATATCAAAAGAGGCAAGCATGATTGCAGGATAGAACACTAAATATGCGAGTAAAAATATTTTTTTTTCCTTAATTGAAATCAGGCAATCAGTAAAGAAAGAAGCGCTTCATCAGGACCCTCAGGAACATGAGAAATACAGAATCAATGGCTGATAGAACTAAGAGACTGTATCACAAACTCCTTTTTCATGTAAAATCCAGAGAATTCTATTTCTTGTTTTGACACAATTTTTCCTCATGCTAACAAAGACCTTTATGGTTCAGAGCTAAACCACAATAATCCAGGATTCTCAAAGTTGATTTTTTTAGCAGTCATTTACATCTGGAGCATTATGTTGAAAACAGCTTCTGCATGGTTTGCATAGGTACCTTGTATATGTTTGTTAACCATTGTAACTTGAGTGTTCCTCAAAATAAGCAAAGTAATACTATACCCAAAATAAGCAAGAAGATTAAATAAGAAGGATAGAATGAGGAGGGCGGTATGAAGGGCACAAGATTCCTTCCAAGGTTATGGTGAAAATTATTAGTACGAACCACTGGATCACGTGTGGGTAGCACCCAATCTGTCAGTGCATTAGCTTCTAATATACCCCTAAGGTAATCAAACCAGGTGGTTAAGTTACATGCCAATATTGCCTTCTTATTTCCTAATAAGCCGTTAATAATTGCTGGGCATCTCAGACAGATTAACTCGGTCATTGTTTCAGTTGGATTTGGACCTATCCTTGAACTCATGTTCTGTCTCATGCACAATCCACAAACAAACAACCAAAGCTCCTGTTCCAGTGAGTACCCACAAACCCGCAAAACTAGCCAAAAGAACTACACAAAACTACAAGAATAGAATATCAAGTGACCACCAGGTGATGCATTAACAAAATAACAAATCTAACTAAGGTTCTCAGCAGGCAGCAAATCAAATCTTGAACTTTGCTATTAGAAAAGCCAGCGGAAAACTGTATCTAATACAAAGCAAACTTTGGTGGTCATTATTCTAATCAGGCATGTAACATCACTAAGTTGCACAGCAACAATCAAACTATAACACCAATTTTGGAATGGAACTATAATACTGTTTTGGAATAGAACAATTGGAAACAATGAAGCATATATATCTCATACTTACATCCAACTAAAAGATTTCTTCTTTCAAACAAAAGAAAAAGTAAAACTCTTATGTCACTCTTTGACTAAAGTTCGGTGTTTGTTTGCCCCATTTGTTGTTAGCTAGCTGTTACAAAGGTGAGAATGTCTTCTTCTTAAGCAAAATGCCTGGGCTGCCTTATCCCCGGCAGGTCGAGTTTTTTTAGCTGTTACAGAGTATATTCTATTTGTAACAGGAAATGAAAAACCGGTGGTACCTTGGTACAAGGTGAGATACCTATTTTGACCCTTAGTGTTAATGTTTGTGAAATACTAGACATAATATTTTGAGTAGATAATGTGCAAGAACAACCAAAGTTAAATTTGGTAACCAGAATAGGCCTAAACAATAGTGGAAAATGCCCGTTACCACGGGTTAGCGGCAGCAGCACCTGTGTAGACAGGTCAACGACAGAAATCTAGTTCAGACCCTTGATTTGTAATGCTATCCGTTTCCTACTGTTATCCAATCACAGCCCGACACTCATACTTGTCCCTAAATGATTGTCATGCAAACATGGATCTCAGTAAGCCAATATTGTCTTCATGCTGAACTTGTCCTATGCGTTTTCGCAGGTAAGCCACGCAAAAACTAATGACCGTTATCATTCTGTAGTCGTGAGAGTCAATTCCCGCCAAAAGGCTATCAAATATCTGCAACAACCCTATGTAGAAGTAATTTTCTGACCTGAGATAGCAACCATTAGCAATAAATCAGCCCTTGTTAGGTAATATATGAACCAGGTAGTCAAAATCGCTGTGGAAAACAATAACGGTTAACTCAGTAATGCAGGAAATGCTCAAAAATCATAGGCAGGCAATAACCTAGCCTACATTCAGACCTAAAAACCTTCCCTCTTGGACATGGATGAAGCTTCGAACGATACTTGTAAGTTGTAACCATCTCACTGAGCCACCCATAACTTTTGTACCTCATCTAGAGGTTATCGTGAATGTAGCTAGCGTTGATCTATTCACGGTAGCCTTTTATTTATATATCAATAGAACTGAATCAAATCAGCACCACTTCGTTGAACAACCAAAGACACCCTCCACTCATACATCAATTCTTCCACTCATCCATCTTCTTCGAAGACAATCAAGGTAGCTAACAAGCTCTGAAGCTCTGATCCGTGCCGTCTTCTTCCAAGACAATCAAGGCAGCAAACAAGCTCCGATCCGTGCCTTGCCTGACGGAGCTGAATCTACCTAGTCGGCCATGTATCGCAAGTCGCAACGCAAGGCCACAAACCGAGCAAAACAGGCCCGGGCTGGCAGCAGCCGAGCCGAACGCCCGGACCCCTCCATGGAAAAGAAGAGAAGAAGAAGAAAAAAGGTGAGAAGTTGGGACTCGATTACCCACCCCGAAGCGCTGCGGATCGGTGGGCGGCCTCTTCCCCATCGATCACCCCGCGCGGCCGCGGCCTGCCCGAACCGACGCCGCGCGACACGCCGGGCGACGGGGGTCAGCAGCCCGGCCCT